TTGTAAGACGCACCTCATCTGAAGACTGAAAATAAGGTCATGCCCAGTATGACTGAAACACTTATGTTCTTTCCTGGTCTTTTTCTTCAGCAGTTCCCTTTGGTTTTGCTCATTGCATGCACCTTTCCTCCCCAGCAATATAGCACAGCTTAGAAATAAGTAAGCCTTCCTTTGATACTTACTTTCAAAGGAAAGTGTTTAAGGGAACTAACATTCCACAGCCATAGATATCCTTCAACGATTTTACTTAAACTTGCTTTGCTGGTTGTAAAGCATGTGCGTTAAAGAGATAGATTATTTTAATCTCTTTTGTTGCACTGAACCTGAAATAATTCTGTATTCCGTGTAAGTGTTTTTAAATGGATTTCCACATTAGCCTTATCATTTTTGTACATTCCACTAGACTGGCTCACAGTGGAGCTGCAATATAATTTATAGTTCACAGAATAAGTTACCTTGTAATAGGACAGTCTTGCTATAAACACAGTTATATTGTTTACTTTACTGTCTAGCCACAGGCTGTGATATGTCTTCAGTGCACATCCTCTACGAGTAAGAAAACCAAAATATATCCAAATCCTATAGAGCATGTGCATTTCTCTTAGTGAGCACTTGACTCTGAGCTCTCCCCAAGCTTTTCATAAATATCAATGAGTTTGTGGTGCCGAAAATGGGGAAACATCTTTTCCAAACGCACAGTGATCACTTTTATTCTTGACATTTGTGGTCCGAATTGAAATTAAGTGCACTATTACCCTTTCCTGAAGACAAGATCAAGAAAAAAGCTCTATGTGTATATCTGTCTCCACTGGGACATCTCAAATATCAGTTCAGTGGTTCAGATCTAAATGCTAAAAAGAAAGGTATTTTATAGTAACAGCAGAGGAGCCAGCCATTAGGAGCTTCCATCAGGAGTGTTCACAATTGAATACTCTAAAGGATTAAAGGGCAAGTGCTTCACTTTGTGCCTATCCCAAGGTTTAGTTGAGGAAGTAATATTAAAAGATACTCTGACGTTCGTAAAAAGCTGAAAATGTAAGAGCATGCAAGGTCAAGATGCAAGATCATCATTGTAACATTAGTGGGATGAAGTCACTGAGGGTTATTTACTAAAGCTGGAGAGTGCAAAATCTGGTGCAGCTGTGCATAGAAACCAATCAGCTTTATTGCCAAGCTTAATTGAACAAGCTGAAGATAGAAGCCGATTGCCTACCATGCACAGCTGCCCAAGATTCTGAGTGTACTAGCTTTAGTAAATCTACCCCATTGAGTAGTACTTGCATGACTAAGGTATTTCAGATGGAGGTACTTACCATCACACCCCATAATTGACTATCCAAAAAGTGTGTTTTTTAAGGGCTCGTTCACACTTGACTTCTAACTCTTGCCAAACGCCCCTATAGTGTTTGCCAAGTGTTAGACAGGTGTTTGTGAAGCGTTAAACCGCGCATTTAACGCTCCCAAAACGCCCTAAGTGCAGTTTTGAGGCGGTTCATAAGCGTTTGTGAAGCGTTTTTAAAAACGCACGTTAAAACACAAAAACTCCTATAATGAAGTTTAAATGGTATTAACGCTCCACAAATGCCTCACAACTGCGTTGCAACCACACCGCAAACGCCGGCGTTTGTGAGGCGGCACCATAGACTTGAATGGGAGGCTTCAACTCCTCCTGACTCGACCAGAGGCGTCAGTTTTTCTGCAACGCGACTCTAACGCTTCCATGTGAACAGCACTGTGTACTACCATGTGCAGAATTTTCAGAGGCGTTTGAGAAGCATTAAACATGCTTCCCAAACGCCTGTCTGATGCCTGCTGACAAAGCTAGTGTGAATGTAGCCTTATAGCAATAGCAGCCTTTTATTACAACTTCCAAAAACACATCATAAATCATTTAGCCTCATGCACACTGGGTGCTTCCCCAGCTCTTCTGAATGCCTTTTCTCCTGGCAGGAAAAAAACACTGTAAAAAAACGCACCTAATGCTGCATTTTGCAAATGCTTTTAGGCGTGTTTAGGTGTGTCAGGCATTTGGGCATCTGGGCCTCATCTAGCTGTGTGATGAAATAAAACTACATTACAGCTCTGTAAATATGTAGCGTTTACTTCTCAGAAAATATTTATATGCAGTTCACTCTGATGTACAATGTACTTCAGTAAGCACCGATTGCTGTAAAAGTATATTCTGCATCTGAAAATTCATTTGATATAATATAAGCTGCCAGAGTAATATTTGCAGTATATTAACCGTTTCCCTACCGCCCTATAGCAGAAATACTGCTACAGGTCTGCACGAGTGCGCAAAATCATATATACGTAATTTTGCATTTCCAGGTAGGGGGCTCGCGCAAGCCACACACACCCTACCACCCCCACCATTCACGGCTGCAGCTGTCAATCACCGGATCCCAGCCGGAGATTACTCGCCGGCGCCCGGTGATTACCGAGGATCTCCAACGGGGAGGAGGACTGTTTTGTTTACTAACAGTTCTCCTCTCTGTCAGCTCGGGCACACTGCTTTGGATGGCTGTGTACAGCACAGCCATCCAAAGCAGTCTGCTTACAGTGAAGCACACAGACACCGCCCTTAGTAAAACACTCCTTGCACACAGTTAACCCTTTGATCGCCCCTCATGTTAACCCCTTTCTGCCCAGTGCCATGAGTACAGTGTCAGCACTTTTTTTTTAGCACTGATCACTGTATTGGTTTCACTGGGGATGTCAGCTCCCCCCAGTGTCAGAATGTCCGCTGCAGTCCTACTAAAATTCGCTGATCGCCGCCATTACTAGTAAAAAAAAAAAAAATACCAGTATATATACCGCCATTTGTAAACACTATAACTTTCACGTAAACCAATTCATTTACATGTATTGGGATTTTTTTTTAGCAAAGACATGTCGCAGAATACATTTTAGCCAAAATTTATGCTGAAATTATATTTTTAAAATTTTTTTACTGGACATGTTCAATAGCAAAAAGTCAAAAATATTGTTTTCTTCTCAAAATTGTTTTTTTTTTTTCATAGCGCAAACAAAATCAAAAAACCACACAGGCGATCAAATACCACCAAAAGAAAGCTCAATTCCTGGGAAAAAAAGGTCATACATTTTATTTGGGTGCAGGGTTACAGGACTGTGCAATCGTCAGTTAAAACAACGCAGCGCCGTAGCGCAAAAAATGGCCTGGTCAGGAAGAGGGGTAAATCCTCAGGAGGGCACGTGGTTAATGGTAATTCTGGCATTCTCCAGTACTAATAAACCCTTTAAAGAATAATTCACATATGTAGCGTCTTGGCCCCAAGTACCAGAAGCCAATGTCACATGCTTGACCTGAGCAAAATGGTTATGTATGCTGGGGTGTTTTTTATGCAAAGTTTACATTACAGTCCCACTGTGGCACAGTATATTGGGGATGTATATGGTGGTAATTGCTAAATTTAAATATAGCATTTTTAAGATTGTTAATTGAATTATTAGTCAAGTTTCCAGCATCACTTTGCAGAAATTATTAGACTGGTGATTGGAAAAAAAAATGCAGGCTTTACCATATGTAGGAATTTCCATATTTAGCATTAAATTATTATAATTATTCAGTCTTACCCATGAAGGATATGTATCTCCTTATTTAAATTAAAAAACATGCATTGGGGTTTTCAAAGTTGTATAACAAGATAGAGAGCATTGAACACAAGGGAGCATGTTAGATATCATGTCGCCCTGGTCCCTTCTTCCATTTTCCTTAAGGTGTATATTCTTGTCGACAACACACTTCTCCATTGATGTGTCTCGAAACATATATTGCTGTTGGATATATACAATATTTTGGCCCATTCTCAGCCTGTAAGGAATTCTTATATACTTTTCTCAGGCATACATAGGCTAGTTGGAATGTACCTGTTTTGATTACTCTGCCTCCTTATTTAGATGGATTTAGTCAAAGGGCTCAAGGTACCCATAAGTCAGAGAGCTGCTCACCTGTCAACTATCTGATATCACATATATGTAAGCTGCAAAGTAGTGTGTGATGTCAGACAGATTACAGGAAAGCTACTGTCATATTTCTAGAAAAAAAAAAAGATTTATTAATTTTCATATTTCTGTTGACCTTTTTTATATTTGGCTCATGCTAACCTGCTTAAGTACCATCCTGTTCCTATACTATAAGCCTTGTTTACACCATATGTGCAGAAAAACTGATGGAAACTGATGGGCAGATTTCACTTGTAGAAACGTACGTTTACTTCAGTTTTCATGCACGTTTCAATGAGTATTATACATGTTGCAGATTCCTGAGCAGAAAAAATTGGCACTTGATACTAGTGTTGGGGTGTGAACAGGGCACATAGAGAACAATTGATTTTGTTGTGCCCTTGCAGAATGCATGAAGAAAAACTAAGGTCTCTGCACACTGGTGTGAACGAGGTCTTAATTAAGTTGTGGTGTTTGCATTAATGCGCATAGTATAAAAAGGAGAAGGAAACAATTTTCATTCCATATATGCATGCAGGGACATGGCAAATCTTTTACTTGCTTGAGGAGTGGCCAGCATCTTGGCAAGATGTAACATAAGAAGTGCTCATTGATTGGTAAGAAAGGGAGCCTTGGGAGGCAATAAATAGTAGAACAACCTTGCTTAAGTGAAAACTATTTGAAAACAAAAAAAACATTATACAGTGAAGAAAATAAATATTTGATCCCCTGCTGATTTTGAATGTTTGCCCACTCACAAAGAAATTATCAGTCTAAAAATCGAATGGTAGGTGTATTGTAACACTGAGAGACAGAATAGCAACAAAAAATTCTAAAAGAAATGCATGTCTAACAAATTCTGCACTGATTTGGATGTTCATGAGGGAAATAAGTATTTGATCCCCTTCACAAAACATGACTTAGTACTTGGTGGCAAATCTCTTGTTGGCAATCACAGAGGTCAGACGTTTCCTGTAGTTGGCCACCAGGTTTGCACACATCTCAGGAGGGATTTTGGCCCACTCCTCTTGGCTTCGTGACTGAGTTGCTGTTGTTGCCAGTTGCTTCCACTTTGTTATAATACCATTAACAGTTGACCATGAAATATTTAGTAGCAAGGAAATTTCACAGATGGATGTATTGCACAGGTGGCAACCTATCATGGTACCACCCTTTAAATCATTGAGCTCCTGAGAGCAACCCATTCTTTCACAAATGCTTTGTAGAAGCAGTCTGCATGCCTAGGTGCTTGATTTTATACACCTGTGGCCATGGAGGTGATTGGAACACCTGAATCCAATGATTTGGAAGGCTGACCCAATACTTTTGGCAATATAGTGTATATGCCATAGTTTGAAGACTTTATAACTTTCACACATGCTAAATAATATATATTGCTTTGGGGTATTTTTACACAAAAAATGTAACAAAATACATTTTGGCCTAAAGTTGTGAAAACTTATTATTTATTGCAACATTTTATAACAAAAACTAAGCAAAACTTTTATTTTCAAAATGTTCAGTATGTTTTCATTTATATAGCAAAAAATAAAAACCCAGTGGTGATTAAATACCACCAGAAGAAAGCTCTATCTGTCCCCAAACAATTTACATCAGTACAGTGTTGCATGACTCAGTAATTGTCACTCAAAGTGTGACAGCACTGGAAGCTGAAAGTTGGCCTAGACTGGAAGGGGGTGAAAGTATCCAGACTTGAGGTGGTTAAACATCAACTGGTGATGCTAAGTTACATGATATGGTTCAATCAGTTTAAAAGAATATCATTTGTTTTGTGACATCATTTTGGCAGCAGACTGTTTCAATTGGTCATCAGAAAGCAGAATCACCTATGATGAACCTGGAATTTATAGGTACCAAAGAGATGAACAGGCAGAAATTTCTAATGAGCCAAGGTAAGGGGCACACCTAGGTAGACATGCTATCTTACTGTACATTTTTCCCTGGCTTACTATAGTTATTAAAGTGATAATAAACATTATAATTATTCTTCAAAAATATTCCATACACATCCACTACTTAATGGCCCAGTAATCTATTTTTCATGAAATAGTTTGTTACTGTGTTTTCTTCCTTCTTGTAACATCCTCTGTGAATTCCCAAATCCCCTTTCCCCCCCCCCCCCCCCCTCCCCACTTCCATTTCTTTGGAGCAAGCAGTACACATTAGTTGCGGTCATGTGCACTGCTCTATGCACACCGCAAATCCCATAGCCCATAACCCATAGTCCCTAGTCCATCTCAGAGACAGAATGTAAGAGAGGGTGGCTAAGCTCCACCATACAGCAGGATCATGGTTAAAGAATTTTACCAACTTCTAACAGTCAACTCACAGCAGCAAACAAAATAAAATGGATTTGAAGATTTGGAGGAGGCTGAGAGCAGTTTAGGGTACTTTTTAAACTTAAGAGTCCATGCTTTAATACAGTTTTTTCTTTATTAAACCAGAGGTTAGTATCACTTTAAAAAGAATTCTGGATTGCATTCATCTATATGTAAAAATACTTTCACAGATTCAATATAGCAAACAGTTTTTGCAGTGTAAATATTTCAAAAGGTTGCAGTTACAAAGAAATGGCAATAACCTCACTGTGATGTTAGAAAAATCTACAGCTAAATATAGCAAATACTTACGTGTAAAAGCCCAACTGTACGTTAAAGCAGAACGTCATTACAGCTGAGCACCACAAGACAAAAACACTATTTAATTCATTTTTAATATTCAAAGCAAACTCACCCATCCATCTATGTCTCCATGCTTTATTTTGCTGAGAAATCACATTGAAAAACTCCCCCTAGCATGTCTGGCCATGGCCATCTTGACTGAGGGCAGAAGATTCATGCAGCATTTACTTAGCTCAGGCATGCAGACATGAGGGTGTGCTTAGCTTAGAAAACCCCTCCTCCCCTCCTGAAGACTCCAGGGATGTATGGCATCATTTGCCTAGGCATGAAAACCAGAAAGTAAGTGAAGAAATGTAAGAAAAAGTTTAAAACAAGTAAATATGATATACTTTCCTATCCATTTACCAATGGTAGCAGCATAAGTATTAAAATAGCCAGTGTTGATTGAGAGGGTGAAGTTCTGCTTTAGTAATAAAAGTTTTTTTTTTAACTTGACAATACATACCATATCTCAGGTGCTGTCCCCAGGAGTAATTCTTCTTCGCCTTTTATATGGTGCTGTGGGAGTGCTTCAAGGGGGACAAATTAGGGGGACTTTCTAGAGCTCTAGAAAAAAAATTATAAATTATTATTTTTTTCTTAAAAATAGAACTAAATATCTATCTATTTTTTCTTTAGTATACATTTTAAAACACCAAAAATATAATATAGGATACACAGTAAATGTTTGACACAAATAGATTCTGATATCTCATAGCAAGTATCAGAAGGCCAATTAATTTACTGCTGACCAAATTAGGTTTTCAATTTAAGCAGACAAATGACAATATCATTTTACCATTCACTTTGTTTCTAGGTTATTCTCTAGAATCAGATAGAAGAGATACTGTGCAGGTTTATCGATCTCAGCTTTACTGACTAGACACCAAAAATGAAACAATCTGTAGTTTTCAAAGAGCAGTCAACCTAATTTACTCTGCAGATTGCGGTAATGGTTACAATAAGAAGCACTTAAGACAAATGTAATGGCACACTAGGGTCAATGTTGCCTGCTGAGAATTAGACACATTTTTTGAGGACTGTTCACCTTTCCCGTGAGAAAGTTGTGTATGATTAAACAATACCCAGTCCAATGAAAGAAACTATTTTATTTTTCCAAAAGCATGAGTAATTTCGCTATTTAATATTACTTGGAGTGTCTTTTATACTTTTTCAAAACCAGTTGTTAAAGGAAACCTGTCATGAGACAGGAGTTATGAAAAGGCCAATGACACGGCTGTCTCGATAAGTCTCTGAAACACATACATTGTGGTATTCACATAATGATGTTTCCCTAGCTATCATAAACTGCAGATTTGTTTGAAGTTAGGGACTCATGCAGTAATGAGGAAAGTGGGTCAGCATAACAGATATTTTCAAACAGATGTTAGCTATGACATCCCTGTATTTCGTTCATAGCAGATCTATTTTATTAAAATAACAAACATTTTATACTTACCTGCTCTATGGTTTTGCACAGATTATCCCTAATTCTCCTCTCCTAGGGTGCTCCCATTGGTGCTCCTGGCTCCTCCCCCCTGCCGAAGTGCCCACCATAGCAAGCCGCTTGCTAGATGGCACTTATGAGTGCTTGCTCCTGAGTCCTACGCTGTGTGTGCATAAGACACACAAAGCATGGCTCTGCCCAGCCCCCCACTCCCTGATCATTGGCTTTGATCGAGTAGCTCTCATGCACTTTGCTGGAATGAGATCGGGCTTCAGGTATGTATTTGGGGGGCTGGAGGAAGCTGCATGCCTCAGGTTTTTTTACCTTACTTAATAGAACGCAGTAAGGTAAAAAACCTTCTGCCTTTACAACCACTTTACGATGCCCATGGGATGATCTGACAAGGCAAAGATTCTCTTGTCTATAGCTTGCTGCAGACTACTGTAGGCACTACCAACAATACATTTCAAGCAAACTAACTGATCAATTTAGTTGATTTAATGCAAAAAGGGCCAAAACCTTGTCAAATGTGTCAAACTAAACAATTGTTTATTTTATGCCAAATATATCATAATAAAGGAATAGTTACTATGGATTGTACCATTCAGAGATGTGTGTGAAAGGAAAAACATGGCAATCATCCCTAACAATTACTTTATTTGAAATATAAATGAAAATAAGCTGACTTCACAAAGCATCAGCTCAAGGAAAAGGATGTTTTTTCTTAGGCACATGACTGCAGTTTTCCAAACATATTAGACTGGCTGAAAACAACTGACACTTTTTTTGTTTTTAATAAGGACTGTTATTGTGATGTCTTAGTGTTTTATGAGCCGAGTCTAATTTTAACAACTCTAGTGTGGGCAAAAAAACTGTCTTCATGTTTATTTCTATGACCTGTGATCTCTAGTCTTTACTGAATCTGCATGTTTATATTAATGTTATTCAAAAGCCTTTCTCAGCAATACTGTCAGGAACAAAGCGCTAGCAGTCAAGCTAATGAATGGGTACATAAATATGCACATTGTCAGGCTAATGCACATGTGCATAAGTGTGCACTTTTTTTGCAGGCATAGAAGGCTGACTGCATGTACATCTTTAGTCACATGTCCGAGCATGAGCAGACGCATGTCCTTTGCTGCCAAGTGAGCTATTTAAACCTGAACTATGCACAAGTTCCTTGCTGAATGGTCTTCAGTATTGCTCCTGTGATCCTGATCCTCATCCTGTTCCTGTTACTGACCCAGCTAGCACCTGACCTGCTTTCGGATTACTGTTGTCAGAGTCTGCTATTTATCTTTGTTACCATCCAACCCTGGCTTGGACTATTGACCGCACTTCTTCCCAGTAAATTTGTGCCTTTCTGCCCACACATTACCAACCTCTGTATGTTTCTGACTCTGATCCTGCCTACAACTTGGTGTCTTTCCAGCTGGATGTCAATAGACCAAGCTTGGGACCTGACTCCTCCTTCAACTGAACTTGGCACATCCATGGTGCGTTGCAAGCTGTACTCCTGCTCAACTGATACCAGTGTTCTCAACTTCCAGCTCACAGTATCAGCACATTCCTTCACTTTGTGACCCTCGTCATCCCAAGTCCTGCATACAAGTTTATAACAAATACCATAATTGATAAAAAATAATATTAAATGGGTTTCAGAAGTTTCAGAATGAAAATGTATATTAAGCATCTGGACTTTCTAGTACAATATGCTGTAATTAAGTTTGCCATTAACTGGTAAAAAAGTTCTAATGTCATAAAGAAGACAGAATCATTAAAATATGGCCAGATTTTTGTTTTTCTAGAAAATGTTGGAAAAATTATATCCCTTCATTAGATCATTTAAAACACCTATAGAGACATTGCTGGGAGATAAACAGTAAGTCTTGCCTGAGTTATATACTGTACCATTTTTAAGGGATAAGTATTGGAATGCAAGTTCCAATATCATTTGAGTGTTCCAACTCAAGCTCACAAAGCCAGCCTAGGCAATAAATTTCACACATACGCCAGTATTCAGTTATATTGTAAGATATTTCACTTCAGGTCATTTATTATTATTATACAGGATTTATATAGTGCCAACAGTTTGCGCAGCGCTTTACAATATAAGGGAGACAGTACAATTACAA